TTATTGCCTTGAGAGTTATTCTCTTGTAAACTGTTGTCTTTTTGTTGCTTTGCACTGTTTGTTGAGTTTTTTGCTGTTGCTATAGTTTCTGGACACAAGTTAAAGGTTTTTTCCTTGTTTTTGTTGTTGTCAAGCCTGACTCTTGAAGTTTGAGTTGTTCATATTTGAGAATACAAGTTTTCTTTTCTTGGGGATAAGGACAATAGCCCTTCCAGTTGAGTTTTGGGAGAACTTGACTAAGTTTTGTTTAATAATTTTGTTTTCTAAAAATTCCAGAGGTAAACTGGAAAGAGTTTTTTAAATTCACTGCTTTTCACAGCAGATTAAACAATATACCTTAATTAGCCAAGCATCCAAGAAACTACTACCTACACTACAAATATATAATAGCATTAATTAAAATAGCAAAAGATATGATCAGGAACAAAACAATATACACAATAATATTAATACATAAAGATATGAATACTAGACAACCCATATATAGATTCACTTGAGAAATTTGCCAAATCAACATCAAATTAACTAACAAAATTACAAACTGGCCATCATAAAACTATAATGATATTAACAGCAATTCTAACACTAATAGCCATCACACCAATCAAAACAACACTAAAAATATTTACAACAGCAACTCACATCATCAATATGTATCAACAATACAATATAATTAAATACAACAAGAAGAACATCATAACAAAAAACCAACACTGGTCATACTGAACCAACGTTTTTATATTTATAGCAAAGAAAGATATTCAATTAGAACTAATATCAATACCAATCGAATCTTCAATATTCACAAAATTATATACCAAAACAACCTTCGATGCCAATACACAAGAAATAATATCACAATTCCAATAAGTTGACTACATAACATATATACTCGCATGGTTCAATCACACAATAATACAAAAAATCAAGAAGACTAATCAGAAATATACAAAATGCAAAAAACCTAGCCATATAACACTCACAAAATCGAACACAAAACTAGACCAACATATAAAATATCAACTAGGAATTAATATATGCATTCATTAATTACAACAACAAACTAACAGCTCAACAAACACATCCAGCCCACTTCAAATTGAAGGCTTTCAAGCTAAAACTCCTTTTGGATGAACTGCCAACCCTACCAGAAACTTAATGCAAAATTTGCAATGCAGAAGATGAATTGAATATACACTGGCTAATATACTTAATGAACTCAACTAATATAAACACCTTTACAAACAATATAGTTAGAAAGTTTATAAATAAAATCAAAAAGATATAGCAACAAATAGTAAAAAACAAGAATTTATAGTTAGATTTTTCAATAATTTTAACCCTACAGCCAATGGCAATACTATCACATTAATCCAAGATCTCATTACAAATGTGTTTAAACAAGACTTAAAATCGATCACACTTATTACAAACAAAATGAAACCCAATACAGTCAAACTACTTCTCAAAATCTGCAAAATGATTTACAACCAAATATAGAAAAACCACTGCAAAACTACAACTCAAACAACAAATAATAATCAAATACAAATAACAACCCTACACTAGAGATGAAGATCGAAATTGTTATGATCGATTCTAAAATTTTGTTCGATTATGACCAGTCAAATCTTATGATCGGTCAAAATTCTATAATCGGTCAAAATTCTATAATCAGTCAAAACTCTATAATTGATGATCTGTATTTAATCGAAAATGTTCGATCAGATGCATAATTGAACGTGTACAAGATATCAAATTCAGCTGCTTCTTGCTTCTGTCTAGTTCTTACCTTTATCTGCGAAACTTTATCACATGAGCTAAATTGATATGAATATAAATTGCTTATTTAATACTGACATCAGAATGCCAAAAGGAAAAAAAATCAGTTTCCTGATATGTCAACGGGTTTATTTATAATCATTCAAAATATTTATTTGTAAAAATACGAAGTTCTTATTGGTGAAGAGATTTTGCGTATTGGTTGGAGCTAAAACCAAGGTGCAACCAGCATCTATTAAATGAAAAAATGTAATTCTGGAGTAGTCGTCCAGGCTATTATATCATTATCCAGTTTTTGGCACAAAAGTTTAGACAATATCATTGTTGCTTAATTAGTTATAGGGTAGCCAAACTTTTGCGCTATCTCTATTTCACTAATATGTATCATAGGTCAAAACATTTAAAAAAATCATGTTTTAAACATTTGCCAACTTTAAATTATACATCAAGAAAGTACCTAGAAATTATTTGTTTGGTTAATTAATATGCATTTATAAATAGTTACATTCTTGATACGTATATTAAAGTTTATATTAAGTTTGTTGGCGAATTTTATATAGGGATTGAACATGATTTAAAGTTCTAAAACCGGGTTTTTTTTTTAGAACGAATTGAAAATCTTGATTCAATACTGAAATGGAAGGTCTTTAAATCCAAGACTTATTACATTATTGTACTAAATTAGCAAATCAATCAACAATCTTGTACTATATAAGTAAAACAATCATTATTTCTTTCAACATTAAAGTTTTTAACAGTGAATACTCCTTTAAATAACAGTGGATACTCCTTTAATAAATATTCTTGCCATAATAGTTAAAAAAAAAAATCTTAGAAAAATGAATAGTATACTAGAAACTGCGAATCATGAAAAGGATTTTGCAATAAGTTCAAGCTCAAATTGTGTGGTAGCTATACTAACAATAAGTTGGCAGGATAAAAGGCTATACGTTGGTGAAGTTAACGAATATATATCAGAGTTAAGCTCGGATGAAGAAATGGTGCCTACTGATTGCAATTATATAGAACCGTCAACTAACCAATGTGAGGATGATTCAAACAAAAAAAAATGGTGTAGCGGTTTCACATTCCCAGTTACTAAGACAACCTCCTGATCCTTTTCGTAACTGTGAGCTAAAAACAGCGTCAGGGACAACAAACGCGTTTGATCTAATGTATGCAAGGAAAAGAAAACGCACAAAAAATAATAAACATAATAATAAGACTGAGTATACAGATGCTAATGCATCAGATGGATCCCTTGAACCTGAACAATCAAGTAATACCATAAATACAAAAACATCTAAACCTGGTGGATCTTTACTTCGTAGCCCCATTTGGAAATAGTTTGAAGAAATATATATTGATAATGTTTGACATGGTATGTGTAATATTGAATTGGTAAATGAAAAGCCCTGTAATACGAAAGTAAGAACTGGCAACTCGATGACATCACTATGGAGGCACCTAAAACTTCTGCATGGATATTCTAAAAATGGTGGGCGGCAAGTAAGCTTTTTTCATTATGTAATTTAAATCTTTCTATTTATATTTATATTTATTTTATTTTTTATTTATTTATTTCATTTTCATTTATTTTATTCTTTATTTTATTTTATTTAAGTCAAAAAACCAGCAAACAATTACAAAAACATTTGAAATTCTTTCTTCAAAACCACACAATACAACCGAACAAGCCATTCGTGATAAGGCTATTACCAAGGTTATTGTCTCCCAAAATCTTGCCTTTTCTTTTACAGAAGAAAAAATGTTTAAACGATTTGCAAAAATTGTGGATTCACGGTGGACTGTGCCAAGTAGAGGAAAGATTAAAAGTCTGATTGATGAGGGATTTGAGCAGATCAGCATACGCCTAAAGAATGATTTACATCTAGCTGAAACTGTATCATTAACAGCAGACTTGTGGACATCGTATTTATGTAAAGGTTACATGGATATTACAGCAACATGGATTAATGAAAGTTTTGAGCTAAATGAGGCTGTTTTGGTGGTTTCTCTTCTTCAGTATCCACATACTACTGACGCAATTGCAGATTATATTAAAGAAGTTCTCGAACATTAGAATATAAAAAACAAAGTCTTCTCAATTACATCAGATAGTGGGGCAAACATGAAGTCGGCATGCAATAAACTTGGTGTAAAATGGGTTCCATGTTCTGCCCATATATTGAATCTTATTGTTCAGAAAGGGCTTTTGCCTGCCAAACACCTAGTTACTCAGATGAACCGTCTTATTACATTTTTTACTGCACCAAACAGAGTGAGCGTCTTGAGGCAATGCAAGTGTCAATTCAAACACAACAGCAATTAAATCAAAAAAGGTAACTTTAAGTTGCATGAGCTGTCTAATAATATTAAATTATTATTACTTTTCACAGTTGAACTTATAGGTTAAAAAAAAAAAAAAAAAAAAAAAAAGACTTGACAGAGACACATAATTAAATAAACTTGAAGCCTGAAGTTTGGTTTCCCTGAGTGTTGCCATTTAAAATATCGATGTAAATAGACTGCTCACATTATTCTATATTGTTATTTTATTAATCTTATTCAGAATGAAGAGAATGAGGGGAATATTATTTTTTGCAGATACAAAGCGATGTTGTCACCCATTGGAATTTGACCTATCATGTATGGGTTTGAATGCTTGAGCTCAAACCTTATATTGAGATTTTTGCAAGTTCACTTACTGTTCAGTCAGAGAGAGATGCAATCGTGGATGAAAACGTTTAAGAGCAATTATGATTACAGAAGATGAATGGACCGCAGTTGCTGATATTATTAATATTTTAAAACCATTTAATGATATAACAAATTATATTTCAGGTAGTTCATACCCAACGATGAGTATTATTTACCCGACTATGTGTATGCTTCGCAACACTTTACTTAGAGAATTCGTAAATGAAGACGATAGTACTTATGATGCAAGTGAACTAATGGATCTTGATATCAACTCAACAAAGATGTTAACATGTTTGACTATGTAGAAGTATTAGATGAAGACGAAGAGTCAGTGCAAGTAAAATCTCCAGCCGTCACCACTGATCTGGTTAGACGCATTAAAAAAATCATATATGAATTATTTGCAAAGTATTATAAGGTAAATTTTTGGATACTATTATTCACAGGTAGAACTATAAAAATTTTCTAAATCTATTATGATAGAAAACCTTTATTAGATATCGCCTTTTCTTGCAGTTTTCTAAAAAATTTTTATATCCAAAATTTTACAAAACTTCTAGTATAATATGCAACTTTTATTGTGGTATTCTAAACAAAAATTTATTATGTGTTATATAAGATATGTAATGTGAGATCCAAACTAACTGAAACATTTTAATTTAGAATAAGAATTAGTGTTAAAGGTAGAGGAGTATCAAAGACTGTCTCTACCTCAAAATTTCATAACGATTTTTTTTTGTTAGAGCGCAAGAGGTAGTTTTATAAGCAAAATTTTGAGTTACAAGCATTTTTTAAAAATGTCACTATTCTCCATTACACGGTCTGGTGGTTGATAAACCTATAGAAAATATTTGTAAAAGTTGCATATCACACCAAAGATCTTTGAAAGAATACCTGTAGAAAAGGTTTATTGTTTTACCTGTGATTCACACCATAGATTTTGCTCTTCATACCACTTTTTTTGAGATTATCTATATACATCCATGGTGTAAATAGTAAAATCTATGATACAAATAGTAGTGTAAATATATTTGTTTAATGCTTAGATTAAATAAATAATTAATTTAATTTATAATTAGTTTTCTGATGACAAAATATTATTTATGGCAACGGCAATTGATCCAAGATGCAAAAACCTTGAGTTTGAGGGCACTATATTAAATCATCAAGATTGTCTTAGATCAGAATATGATAAAATTACAAGTAATGAGAATTTTGGATCATCGATTTGGATTGTTCATGTTAACAATTTTCACAGTAGCTCAACAAAATATAACAAATAAGAATGAGGTTAATCAATATCTTATGATGGAATTGATTGGACCTTTAGACAATCCTCTCTGGTGGTGGTTGAATCACAAAAATGCACTTCCAAAAATTTCAAGTCTTGCTCGTAGATACCTCACAATTA